TTCCGGTAATCTATCGTTACTCCATAGGGACGATCCGAAAAGACGCACCTCCTCGTCGTTTAATATTGTCCAGGCACCCGGTGTACTATCTAGACCGCGAATAAAGTTGTGAACCTCCTTCGCCGGCTTGGTCCAGTCGATCTTCTGGAACTCCTTCTTGTTCAACAACGGGTCGTAGGTCGCACCCTCCTCGGATTGCGGTATCATAGGCGCGATCTTCTTGGCCACGAGATCCACGGCCTCGCCCATGGCCTTGATACCCTCCGGATAGAGAAAATTGTTGTACAAGCTGTCCACTGTATCGTTTGGTTCCACTTTGCAGGATCTCTGGAGGAGGACCGGCCCTGTATCCAGACCGTCATCCGCCCAGAAGACCGACAATCCCGCGGTATTGTCTCCTTGAATCAGAGTCCTGGAATAAGGTGGATAGACTTATTATTTATATTGCAATTAAAAAATGGAGATTATTATTTTTAAAAATTCTATTAATATTGTATTATTAATTATTAAAATAAGCGACTTTAATGTCGCAAGTTTGAAACTTATCATATTTTACCCGAAAAGTTTTCAACATCTGATTACGATATAAAGAAAATTACAACTATGTATATATTAATTTATTAATTATATTAACAATAAGTATACTATAATTCACATATTATTTCTATTATTAATAAAAACGTGCAAACAATAGTTGAAAATTTTAAAAAGATATATAACTTTTGAAATTAATCGAAGAAATAAATTCACATATTATTTCTATTATTAATAAAAACGTGCAAACAATAGCTGTAAAATTTTATCGAAAAAATCGAAAAAATAAAATCTTTGCCATATATGATACGAGTAGTAAAAGAATTTTAGCAAGACATTTACGCGAAAGGATAATTGACCGAAAATATGCGATACGGCTATCGGTATCGATTCATAGGTCAAAAGTGTACGAAACGCGCGAGATACACATATACGCATAATCATAGAATGGCGAAATCTATATATCTATATAGCGAGCTTGTGGCCATGTATTATCGTCGTCATTATCGTCAACATATTTTCAGCGAGAAAGTAGTCTCGCTTGGCGTAATCTGGAGCACAAAAAACTGCGGCGAACCGGTTGTTCAGACGCGAGGATGCCCGCCGATATCGAGAAATGCTATATCACAACCGATAGACTTGACGATAAGCATGAGAGTTAATAATAAAATAAGATTGAAAATAAATCGATAACGAACGAGAATTAATTGTAATGGCACGAAATAACATATTTCTTTAAAAAATATTGTGATGTTAGAGAATTTAATTTAATTTAATTTAATTTAATTTTAGCAAGATATTTTGAATCGTAGTTTGCGCAAAAAGATCTCCCATTCGAAAATTTTTGATAAAAATTAAGGGTCGCGTATTAGATCGAGATGAGGACTCACCAGCTTATAGCGCTCGCTCCTCTGTGCCTGGGCAGCAAAGACGGATGATAACATATGCTACGGTGACGAGGATGATTAATGACCTCCATGGGAATGAATTGGGTGCAGAAGGGAAGAACGTTGAGGTCTACCTCGATGCCCTTGTACAACTTCAAGATTTCGGGCAAGGCCACTCCCTTGCTCCTCCAGGCTTTGATCTTGAAAACCGGCGTGTTGTCGGCTTTGGCGGTGATCGCTGCAATTCAAGAGAGACGATAATGAAGCGAACGAGATTACTCGTTGAATCTCTAAAAAGTGTGGTCCTTTTATTATTATAAATCTTACAATTAGTTGATTGAAATATATATTATAAAGAAAAATGTGTCACGTGGGTGAACTATGTACATATATTATCCTGTACTATCTTCTATCAAAAATTTTTAGAAAAGTAAAAATTATAATAGACGAATTCGAGATAATTTATATATATATATATATTTCATATTACACATATATGTCTTATCATTACGCGATATTATATCTTATTGATGCAAGACTTTTTCTACGGGAAATTTACAACAGAATTAGTTTTTAAACGCGAGCTTATACCTAGAGGATCCTCGCGATTTCCCTTATCCGGAATCGTGAATACACCGGTGATCTGATGTCCATTTTGTCGCAAGAGTTTGTAGACCTCCGCTGCGAAGGGACTCTGCCCGATGATAGCCACTTTGAGCTGCGCCATCGTCGACTGCGTTCGTAGAAAAAGTTCTTGTTAATTAAATACGTATCTTGATAATGAAATTTCTATGAAAAGTTAAATTTCGAAATCTTCGAATAGTTGATAAAATATGTGGTATAAAGAAAAATTTCACGTGTTAACTATGTACATTACTTCTATTTTTAATTTCCGATATATTTCGACATTCTAATCTAATCTTTTTCCGGGATTTTACTTCTGATAAGATCTCTTAATATCGAGCGATTTACTTAATTCGTGGATACCTTAATTAAAAAATGTTAACCGATTTATACATACCTGTCTAAGATTTAATCCGTCTCCTCTATATTATGTTAGTAGCGGTTTTAAGCAAACTGTAAAATAAATGTATAATTACGAAGCTTATTTACAGAATAAATCCTGCGCCGAAGCTCCATTCACAACATCATATATACCGTCACCCATCACCTCGCACACATGTACAAAAATTAAAAATATTAATCAGTTAAAATAGTCAATTATAAATATTAACACGTTGAGTATCACGCGAAAAAGATTTCCGTTTGTAAGGACGAAGCGAGACAGATTAAGACGAGGGGCTATGCACTAGTGAGTGCGATGAACAAGTGATTTCAGATTGAAGTCGATTTCAAATGATTTTATCGATTTCATGAATACTTCAAGCAATTAGAAAACCGTGATTTAATGTGATTTCATACGATCCGATCAGTGATTTCATACTGATTTCAAAAGTTCGGAGATTTCATTCTGATTTCAAGTTATTTCAATGATATTTTCGTGACTTCGATTTCGAAAGATTTTTTTTCTAATTTTAGCCGATTCCTCGTGATTTCGATTTTGATTTTATACCGGAGTGCTTCAATGATTTCCGGAATGAATAGCCCCTCGGATTAAGAAATGTAAACAAGCGCTAGATGAAGGGCGCGACTAAGCAGTCAGTCAATCCCGAGCCTTCACCACAACAAGACGAGTAAATATATCGATACTAAACACGCATTTGAAAGTTAACGGCCTTTCCTGATTCCTATCGACTCCCGTCTTACACGTTATTAAAATCAATCTGTTAAAGTTCTATAATGAAATCATTATATCATATATATTATCATTATCACAAGCATACAGTGATCTCATTGTCAGTTATAGCAAACAATGATCTCACTGAAAAGAGACAGTTAGTAACTACCGATTTTCAGTGAAATCTTACTGATTTTCAATGTAATCAATGAAACATAAAACGAAGGAGCAAAGTATGAGTGTTTTCATTAAAGATCAGTAAAATATTCATTGATCTTTTATTACTTTTAGTAACATTTTCACTGATTCAGATTAAGAGAATGAAGAAAACACAAAACTATATAATTTATACAGATATTAATAACTTAATAATTATATATAAGATAATTTATATATATGTATGTATATTTTATATATATATCATTACACATACATCGTTTAATCGATAGATTCATGTAACATCTCTGACATCGACAATTCTATTTTAAATTTAAATGTACATCAACGCGATCTTTCTGTAACACACACACACATTCACATGTAAATCTTTTCTCTTTAGTTCTTATCTAGTCTTTCTATATTTCTTTTTTTCTTTCAGACATCTTTTTTTCTCAAATTCAATGATATATATTGAACTGGCAGCTTACGGTATCCAAGACGAAGTTGCGCCGCCAGATGAGATTTCTCAGACCCAGCATCAGTTTCACGAACGCGGGTGTAATGTCTAATGTCTAACTGTTGCGCCTTCACTTTCGTCACTGACTACACTCACGATGGAACGTGAGCGGTCCACCATTAGCGTGGCGAACGTAGAATCAATGCTTTCGATTGCGAACCCAGAAAAACCGGTCACATTTATATAACGTCGATGATATCTCCTGCAGGGGTCAAGATCTTCTGAGTTGAACATCAGAGTGAATTTTTATTCTCGTTATCTTCAGACTCCGCTTTGAAATTTCGAGAACGCTGTGACTAACATTCGAACAATTTATCAGATACAAATGTAAATTATAAATTTTTAATAACACGCAACAAAATAAAACATCAATAATTAATGCAATGTTTATATAGTTACAAATAAAATTACGATAAAATATATATCTTATTATAATGTTTTTGCTCTTTTTTAATATATTTGTTATTAAATAATAATGTAATATATAAACTTTTTTGTAAGAATATAAAAGAACAAGACAATTTCTCTGAACGAACTATTCTTAAGAAACACTCTCTTGTGGTCAAATATTTATTGAAATTATATCATGTTATATGTATGTAATATAATAATGGCGAATATATGCATATTAGCTTTAATAATTTATATTTTATTCAATTAATATAAAAATATACATAATTTTAATAAATATTTGATTAATGAGAAAAAGCTATATACATTATAAATTTTTTTCTATTTAATTTATCCAAACTAAACTGATATACAGAAAAATATTTACGATGCAGATTTGTGATTAAAACACAATAACATATTGACAATTTCATTTTAAAATATTTATGTTTCACAAAATTCGTCATCGGCATATTCGGAAAAAATTCTTCTTTCATATGACGGCAATAATTTTATAATCGACGCAAAATGCAAGTCCAAACTGGATCGATCCAGTTCGAGGGAAAGATTCTTCGATATCGATCGATCGTAAATAAGCAAAGGTCTCACCCCGAAATAATCTTCTCTCGAACCGCTTCGAATCGGTTAGTCATTTTATGCACCGGGAAAAAAATACTTATCATAGAATAGCGCGCATAAAATGCTATCCAATTACGTGTCCGTGATGCAATAAGCAGTAGATACGTTCGGTCATCGTGCCGTAATCTTGTTATAGTTACAATTACATCATACCGCGTCCTTATTTCATAAAAAATCGTTTAATTATACGTTTCGAGAAGAGAATTGTACATCTTTTTTTTTTAGACAAGTGCGAATTTAATCTTGCCGCCATTTTATAAACACATTCCCTAAACACGGAAGCATTTTTCTTGTATTATAAAAATTTATTTATCTGTGAAAATTCGAATTTATACATTACTTTGTGAATTCCCTAAGATACAACGGTAAAAGTGCAAGTTTGATGTTCCTAGAATCAAAGAATGCAAAATAAGCATCTTATGCTACAAACCGGAAAACTGATTATACATATGTATGTATACTTAAATATTTACGTAAATAAACAAATATTTTTATTGCATAAATGGGAAACATTGCTGAACTAACAATTTATTCTAACGTCATCGATCGAAAATGTTTATTAAAACTATATCGTATTATATACCAACCGCAGTATTAAATTATCAATAACTAAAACTTATTGCAGCTTCACGATTTATGTTTTACTTAATATAACACCGTACATAGATTCAATAAATATTTGATTAATAAGAAAATGCTACATGCACTTATAACTTTTTCTTTTTTACTCGATTAATTTATTTAATTGATATATATGTATGTACATATATATAAAATGTTCAACGCTGTTGAGAAATAATATTTTGTAAAATAAATTATCGTATTAGATTAATATAAATTTAAAATTGTATTAACTTTATGTTCTATGATACAGCATATAATACAACTTTTATTGGGATCACTTTTAATGTCAATATAATTAATATAGCTCTTTTATATATATATATATATTCGATATAACTTTATACAACTAACTTACTTTATTCGTTCTCTAACAAAGGAAGATTTACTATTAGAGTATTTCAATATCGCGGTACTTTGAACTCGGACGCTCCGTCAATCGTCGTCGTCGGTTTCCTCTTGTTCATAATATTCTGAATCTTCTGCCATTCACGGTCGAGCTCCGCCTTCTCATTCTTCTCCTTATTATACTTCCTGGTGCGTCTGCCGTCGGCCATCTTCACGCCGTACTGGAAGGCCGCCTTAGGCAGCGCTTCCTTGTTATTCATATATTCGCTATACTCCTCGGGTGTGTCGAAGTCCCAACGGCCGATCGGGCCCTTCTTGTTACCTAGATCCATTTTCGTGTAATCCACTTCATCATCCGAGTCATCGATAGCATCTTGCATTTCGTCTAGACCTGGATAACATTCGGCGTAACCTTCTGGCTCGGCCGCTAGTTTATTTAACAATGCACCTTTCTTCGGTGCGTTATTATCCGTCGTGGCTACTGTATTTTGCTGCAACACGTTCGGCAATTGCGGAGCATTTGCCTTGTCATCGGTGTCGAGATTAGATTCGGGCTTGTCGAAGTACGGGCCCTTCTTTTTATCGCGGGATTGGCCGTCCTTCTTGCTCATCACCGTCGGCATATAGTCGCCGATGTCGCCATAGATACTATCGTCGGCGACCGGCGGCCGCGGTTGGATATCTATCTCGTTCTCGTCGCCACGGACCCGCCCGTCCTTCAACTTCTTGCCCTTTTTACTGTGCCGGCTGCCTTGGCGCAGATATGACAAAATCTGCGCTAATTTATTAATCACTATATCGTTGGTCGTAAGAGTCGGCGTATTATCGATCGTCGGTACGTCCGCTTTGCTCCTGATCAACGTCGTAGGTATATCGACGTCGGCATTGTCGTCGTCCAACTCGATCACGTATGCCATGCGACCTGGCGTGAATAACTCATTCCTTTCGATCTGCTTGGACTTCATGATCATGATAGTCTTGTACACGTTCCTGCCCATTTTCGTCTTGAATTGCATCTCGTCGTCCTTTTTCTCCGGCTCTTTCTTCGATTTCTCCTTTGGTTTCACGAGTTTCTCCATCTCCTGCTCTTGCTCGTGTTCTTTCGCTTCAATCTCACTGCGTACCTATGTTAAATACAAAGTAATTATTTGTCTCAAAAGTATAAGCTATTAAATTTTTAACTATAGCTTTAATGAAATCAAGAAACATATTAATAAAGTTTAAAGGTATATTATACCTTCTGTAGAAGAGCGTAATCCAAGCCCTTGACCAAGTGAGTATGTTCCATGTCACCACCTAAGAATTTAGACTGCTGGATCATCTGCCTCCTGCGTTCTGCGGCATCCATGCCGGACTTCAGATCTGGCGCGACGGCTCTGTAAGCGCTAGCATTGTTCATAGGATCTTCCGCTTGATAATCTTGATTGGTACCGTCCCTGCGTTCCCTCGCGCGATCCCTATACTTCTCCGCGAGCTCTGCCATCTTGTCCTCCTCCTGTTTTTTTAACTTTGCGTAGAAGCTCTTCTTCTTCCTTCGCAGCTCCGCCCGACTGCCCCCACTAACTTGGGGGGTTTGAGCTGTCTTTGCGCTGGCATCCCTCGCTGTGCCTGGTACAGAAGCTGGAGTAGCTGAGGGTACCGACGCCCTCGGGGTCATCAAGAGTTTTCGAAAGTCGTCGTTCGTCAGGCGAACTGACATACTCATCTCTTCTTCCGTCTCTGGCATTTTGACTGGCTATTTTTCCTATACCAGAGATAAGGTTATGATCAGTAAAATCTTGGAGGAATGTATGAGAATGATTTTGAAAATACTATAATAAATTATATATACGTACCTTTTGTGAAAAGCTGTAAGAAATAAAAACAAAACCTTAACTGTATGATATTAAAAAAGTTATCTGTGGAATCAGACGTCAGTACAGTGTATATGCAACAACACAAGTAGTCTCCCAGTTCCCAGCCAGTCTGACTGATATTATCAGAGAGAAGCCTGAGAGAGGCCACGCCGTCGTTTTTCGTGTGACCGTTTTCCTAGCTTGTACAGTGGCGCTATCTGGATCCATTTTAGAGCCGGCGGAACTACATGGCCAGATCTACTTTTTTATGCTATGGTAAAACGACCGATTGGTGCATGTCCGCGAAAGGAATTTGAGCGTCTCACCCCACTACAGTTCTATTCAAGTGTTGTTGTATGAATAATAACAAAGCCATGAACAATAGCGCGTTAATGTTTACGCCGCCAAGGCTGAACACTATGTTATTGATAATTTGCTGCCGAAATATTTTCCGTATATACAAGCGGAATATTAAATTATACAAGTATTTTAAATTATTATTATTATTTAGATCAATTATTTAATAAACGATTAATATATCACGGAGCTTATCGTTATATGTTAATTACTCGGATCTGCGATTAGACTATTTTATTGCGCATTCTCAATCCGAATCATATTTAGATCGTCGAAAAGTTGAACGAAAAGACATCGGATAAAATATATTTAATTTTAAGTAATTTTAAATAATTATTACCTAGAAAGTAAAAGAAAGGGCGAGAATTAATTATTAATTATATCAAATTATTTCCCGATACTTGTCGCGATCGCGTTTAGAAAAGGAATTTGGCGAAGCGTTTCTCTCTATACTACATTACTATTTAAGTGTCGCCGTGCAAATGATAAAGCCGTAAGTCGTAAAACGTAAACAATAGCGCGCTATTGGCCACATGTTATTAATAATTCACAGCCGAAATTATTTTGCATGCTATGACAAGCGGAATATTAAATTATACAAATATTTTAAATTATAGATCAATTATATATTTAATTTAATAAACGATTAATTTTATTTGATATCATTTTAATCACAAAAAATCATTAATCCATTAAAATTATTTTCAATTAGATAAAATGCAAAATATAAAAGTTTTATTTTCTATGGTAATATAACACATATATACTCGTGAAATACTATAATAAAGAAATAAGCCTCTCACGTGTAAAAGACTTCGGAACTCTTTGACGTTACGTCATCTCGTTTATTCTTTACTCGTTCTCGCTCTCGCTTTTGATAACATCGGAGATCTTTACTTATCTATAATTTATTTATAATATTCAAAAATCTTATGTAATGAAAACTAAAACATTTGTTTTATTTTAGAAAGTAATTTTTTGAAAATAATTTTAATGGTTAATGAGATTTTCAATTAAAATAACATCAAAAACACGATATAATTCGAATAATTTTTACTTTGATAAGGAAAAAATATTTTATCTAATTTTTAAATTTATATCTAATTGAAATTTATCCGAATAATGTCACGTTTTTTATATCATTTTATTTGCAAAAATTTTATTAATCAAATAAAATTACGTTTAAAAATATAAGAAATATAAAAATTTTATAAAAGTTTTTATATGTTCAATCAATGCACTCTGTTAGATACTATTTTTGCTCCAAAGCGTTTGATGGACAAATGAGAGCGAAGAATCTTGTTCTTCGAGCGAAAATAATGTTAAGTAAAGCATATCTATTGTTATATTTATTTTCAAAAGTATAACATATTAATTATCTTATTATTTTACTTTAATATAGTTAATAATAAATTAATAATTAATTATAAAAAGCTATATAAATTAAAAGTAATAATAATTTGATATTGCTAAAAATGCTTGATAATTTTATTTCAAAAACAAGAAAAAAGTAAAAACAATTTATTGTAAATATCTTCTATACGTTATATATATTTAAAACTGAGGAAAAAAATTATTAAGAAAATTTATTTAAGAAAATTTATTTTATATGTCACATGCGTATTTACATAAAAATACTTCAATAATAATTTATTATTGCTGTCCATAATATATACTAGAATGGCAAAACATCATGCACAGCTATATATATATAATAAAACATTAATAAATCCATAATATTTCTCCGCAATTTTGATCTACGATTATGGATCTAGCACACACATGCACCAACTGGTGATTGTTTTACCGTAACACCGAAAAATGAATTTGGCCATGTAGTTCCGCCGGCTCTAAAATGGATCTAGTTGACGCTACTACATCAGCTAGAAAAATGTCTTATGAAAAACGGTGGCGTGATCCCTTTCAGGCTTCTCTTTGATATTACATCTTCCTTCAGCGCCACACATAATTATGTCACCAGCAGATAATAAATACCAAACTTGATTATAAAAAATGCAGAAAAAGATTTTTACTATTCCAAAAATATTGCGCTTTTTGTCAAAAGAAATGGAAATATATTACAAATTATTTTTTTGAACAAATTAATAAATCTTTGTGATCCCTGATTGCAAAAACTGCACTTTCTAAAAAAAAAATGCAAAATTTATTTTTCTAATTATTTTTTAATTA